AGCTAGTATATATTTATTAAACAATAAAGCATATGTTTATATACATCACTTCAATGTATCTATTATGTATAGGCCTATCTGATGGATTTTGTGTTTCAGACGGTACCAGAAAATGAAAAATGTCGTTATTGTAAACTTGTGTTACATTTGTCTTTGCAGGTGATTTCATTCCTTTTGGTTGGTGTAGGAGCCGGATTTGCAGTAATTTTTCATATTGGTGTAAAAGAAAACCAACCACATCACAACAAACCAACTACGAAGACACCCAGAAAACTGGGTAGTTTAAAGTGGACATATTGGCTGAAAAATAAACATTTTTATCAAGTAAGAAATAAATATTATTTAATATAGGTAATGAATTAAAATTAACATGTCCAGTGATAGTTAAGATTTTTTTTCTGTAATTTAAAGACTAAAAAAGCTTACACGTATTCGGGTATGTTTTTAAATTATCTTCCAGTTAACTTTAATAATTCTTGTATTTCTATATATCCGTAACCAGTGGTGTAAGAAGGAGTTGCAAAGTGCGGGTGCTTGGCTAGACATGTAAATTTTACAATAATATTATTTATAGTCAAATGTGTAAAGTGGGAGTGCTACAGCACCCTCGGTTCTGAAGCCTTTGTTAACTAAAATTTAGTCCCCCGGTGGGACAGTGGTAAGTCTTCGGATTTACAACACAAAAAAGCAGGGGTTCGAATGGCCTCGGTGGACACAGCAGATAGCCCGATGTAGCTTTGCTATAAGAAAACACACACACAAACTAAAACTGAACTGATAAACGATAGCCACTTCTTTATCGCTAGACTAAAAGAGCAGGAAAGTTTACATATTTCTAGAAGCACCCTTGACTTAAATTTATAGAATTTCTATTGCTGACAAATCAGAGTTCAATGCTGGTTTTAGTTCTTGATTGCCAGAGTCTCCTTTATTCATAAATATTGTTCGAACTACATATTATGGCAAATTTGTTGTTGTTGTTTGTTTGTATTTTATCAGTGGTTCCATCATATCCCTGACATAGATATTTGTAGATATTCGAAGATTTAACAACACCAGCCTTCAAATGGTATTTTATGTATTGTTAATAAACGACGCATAATTGAAAGCTGGAGAAATTTGTTGTTTGTTAACTAGTGGAAGCTGTTGGTCGTTGACGATAAAAGTTAAATTCAAGAAGACAAAATAGGCTTAGATCTTCTGGAAAACTAACGATATGATGAAAAAGCCCCCCCCCCTCCCCTCACTAGCTCAGCAAGTCTGAGGGTTTATAATGCTAGAAACAGGGTTTCTATACCACCCGTGGCAGGCACAGCAAAGATAGCCCATTATATAGCTTTGTGCGTATTAACAAGCAAACAAAAAAAAGTATTGTTCTAAGTATATGACGTACAGTTTGACTTCTAGTACATAGTGTTACGACAGCAGAAATCACGCGACGCTGGGAGCATGCGCGCTGGAGTTTCTACAAGGATCGTAACTTATCGGGGAAACCTCATGAATGTCCCAACGTTTGCTAGACGCCCTCTTATTTAGTATATAAGCCGGAGATAGATTGAAAATAGATAATTGAGTCAAGCGAGCAGTAGGCACCGTAAGTAAAGTGTGTGAATTGCTGTGAATTATAGCACATGTTTATAAAAGTAGTTGAGATAAAGTGACTGTGGAAATTTTGTGTATTACAAAGTTGTATCGAGAAAGAATAAACTAGTTTTAATAAGAAAGGACTCGTATCGCTGAAGTTCTTCGGAGAGAATTTATACCGGAAATTAACAAACGACCAGATATGTATCAAATTGGTGTCAGA